AACATTGGCTAGGCATGGTGGCTCATGCCCGTAGTCCCAGCACTTTGGGAGGCTGAGGCAGGTGGATCACTTGAGGTCAGGAGTTTGAGACCAGCCTGGCCAACATGGTGAAACCCTGTCTTTACTAATAATACAAAAATGAGCCAGGCATGGTGGCGCACACCTGTAATCCCAGCTAGTCAGGAGGCTGAGGCAGGAGAATCACTTGAACCCAGGAGGCAGAGGTTGTAGTGATTGTGTCATTGCTCTCCAGCCTGGGTGACAGAGACAGACTCTGTCCCCCCACCCCAAAAAAAATAGGTATTAGCAACACTTACAAGCATTCCAGGTGGTAGGTGGTATTATATTTTCCTGAGTACATTCAAATGGGAGAACTACAAAATGTAAGCTTTCTCACCGTGAGCTGCCACCTTTGTTATAGCCTCCAGGAGTCTAGGAGCAGTACCTGTTTCTATGTTTTATACTGATGTAGTGTTTTCTTATCAGAAGATTGGCCTTTCCTTGCTGTTTATTATTTTTGTTAAGATTTTAATTTATCAACCTCTGTGACGATTAATTTTATATGTCAACTTGACTGGTCAGGGATGCCCAGATTAAGCACTTCTGGGTGTGTCCACGGAGGTGTTTCCTGATAAGATTAGCATTTGAATAGGTGAACCCCATGAAGTGCACTGCCCTCTCCTATGTGGCTATGCATCAACCAATCCACTGAAGACCTAAATAGAACAAGAATTGGAGGAAGGAGGAATTTTCTCCTTTTTTTTCCTCCCGGCCTCACTGCTTGATGGGATATTTTATCTCATCCTCTCCAGGCCTCAGACTGGTATTTACATCATTGGCTTTCCTGGTTCTCAGTCCTTCAGCCTTGGGTGAATTACAGCACCCTTGGCTTTCCTGGTTCTTCAGCTTGCAGATTGAGATCATGGTAATTCTCAGCCTCCTTAATCACATGAGCCAATTCCTCATACTCAGTATCTCCCTCTCTCACTCTTGCTGTTTTATATATGTGTGTGTGCATATGTGTGTGTGTGTGTGTGTATATATATATAGATGAATTAGATATAGATGATATGGATATCAATATAGATATATAGATGTATCTTCCTACTGGTTCTGCTTCTCTGGAGAACCGTGACTAATACAAGCCCTAAATTATGTGCCACACAGGCAGTTTTCACAGAGAAAGATAGACTGGCACTGTGTGTTAGGTAGATAGATCAAAATTGACCAGTGATGAATGTTAAGATGGAAAAAATAAAATTAGAAAACCTGGAAAATAACAGATAGTAACCTATTAGTGGTTGGTTCCATGGAGTAAGGGCCAGAAACAAAAAATAAAGTCATCTGAGTTAGGATGGAGGAAATTGGTAGAGCCTGGGAGGAAATGTTAGTATTAGACCAGGGCAAAGGAAATGAAAGCAAGCTGGAGAAAATCTCTTTTAATTGTGTAACTTGTTGCACGTTCTGCAAAGCTATGTGCAAAATTAATTATACTATTAAAAATAAAAGTTCAGAAACACATAGCTAAAGGCAAAAAAAAAACAACCTTCTAAAAAATCCAAATAAAAACAAGTACATCCTGTGTATTAAGTAAAACAGCATGACTGCCATGACTTTTATGACTGTTAGAATTTTGAAATTATTGTGTGTAAATGTTTTAAATCATGTAAATGTGCTTTGTGGTCTGGGGTTAAAAATAAAGTTAGTAGTAAACTTTAAAATGAAGTGAAACACATGCTAAACAGAAAACAGTGGCTACAAAAAAAGACATAAACATAACCATGGGAACTATGACAAAGGAATGTGGAAACATATTTGAAAGAAAAATTTATTAGCAAGTAAAAATAAAGAAATTTCCTTTTGTATATCGGAGACTGAAATACATTTTTGTTGAGTCTTAGAGTGTTAACGCAAATGGTCTTTTATGTTTTTAAAAGTTAAAATAAAAAAGGAAATAAATAAGCTAAGGTATGATACAAATAAGTTCCCAAAAAGAAAACTGTCACAACCTAACAGCCTCTGCTTAAAAAGTCTCAGAAGCTTGTGAGGCTAATAGTCAAGAATAAAACCTTAGTAATTAAATTGATTAAACTTTCTGCAACTCAAAAAGGCTGAAGGTCTTTTCAACTCTAAAAGGTAAAGTCAGTGTTCAGGGACCCTCGGCTGCTCACAACTATTAAAACAAATAATGAATTATTAATGAAAGCTAACTACACATTTGTTAAAAACAGTTAATGAATTATCAATGAAAGCTAAATATCTTCCAGAAAGAGAGGAAAGACTAACTCATGAGAGCTAGTCTGCTGAACAAATGAAAAGTGGTCATTTAGAGAAGTGTATTGCTCAAGTGATTTTGAAATAGTCCCAAGTCCAAATGCAACTTTGAAGAGTCTATGGATCTGGACAAAATAGAAAAGCAGAATGACAAGAACAAGTTCAAGCAATAGATGTTACAAATTAGAAATGCATCTTTAGGATCGAAAAACAAATCCACTTTGCACATGCATTTATAACGTAGGACAAAGTTTTTCACAAGTTTACATGCTTCCTTCCCCCATATATACTAAGGAGAAATTATTAGTATTTAATATGTATTGAAAGTGTTCAAAATCAATATCAGAAATGCTCAGAAAATGCTGGAAAGATAACAAGAAACTCACAACAGAAGCTTCTCTGGAGAGAAGAACTATAGTATGTGACTGCAGGCAGGAAACAAGACCAAGGCCTATTCTCTCTGAAATGCATCTGCCTGTCCACATGAGCTGAGACCTCACTGACCTCTACCTTTTCTTAATTTTGAGAGCAGTGTTAGTCTGAAGAACACTGCATTTGTTATGCATGGCTGCATAACAAATTGCCACAAACCTAGAGCTTGAAACAATATAAACATTTGTTACCTCATACAATTTTTGAGGGCTGGTAATTCCTGCTCAGAGTACAAGAGGTTGCCATCAAGATGTTGGCTGAGGCTAAGGCTTTCTAAAGGTTACCTGTCTGCAGGATCCTTTTCCAAGTTCACTCCTGTGGCTATTGGCTGTAGTTCTCAGTTCCTCGCCCGCTGTTGACCAGAGGTTTTAGTTTTTCACCTGTGAGCTTCTCTATAGTGTGGCTGACAACACAGTATCTGACTTATATTCTAAGGGGAAAAAGAGAATGAGGGACCAAGACGGAGGCCACATGTTCTTCTGTAACCTAATTTCTGAAGTGATTCACCATCACCCCGTCATGTCCTACCAGTCACGTAGACCAACAGTGGTACAATTTGAAGGGGATAACACAGGATATGAATACCAGGAGGTGGGATTATTGGGGGCCATGTTGGAAGGTGCCTCCCACAAATACTGTGTGGCACTTAGAACTCTTTGCTAGTCTTCCCCGTTTGGTTCTGAAAAATGCTTTTTAAATTCTGTAACAATGGCAAAGGTCAAAAATTCTGTTTAAACAAAGTAAGTTATTTTGGATACTAAATTTACAATAAACAAAGGTTGGATGACTATACGCCTCATAACTTAAAACAAAACCAAGAAGACATTGAAGGAGTTAAATGGCTTCGCATTTTTAAAGCACTTTTATCTTTTTCAAGGCACTTTAAAATTGTCATTTTATCCACTCAACAATCCAATAAATTGACACTTAGTGCTAATTGTTTCATCCTTCATGGTTCCCATGACCCAGACACCTTACAAACTATCATTGTTGTTTAGACCATTGCTCTTGTCTATTTATATGACTCAAGAGATCATCTTATTCCTCTTATCCACATAAACTCAAAACCTCTTCTATTTTATTCTTATTCATGTTTCTCCTCTGAATAATTTTAAATATTTACTTTTGTTTATTTTTCTTTTCCTTCTCAGATGATTTTGAACTTGAAATAAATTGAGGCCAACACTTTGTGTTGTTGATGAGCAAAGAAAAGTTCTTCCAGAGAAATTAAGTAAATTGCCTGAAATCACAAATAGTAGAGTCCAAAATGTTGCATCTATCATGTGGCTTCCTATTGATAAAATAATGATCCAATCTGAGTCTATATTTATCCAACAAGGCTTTATTAATTCTCTTAGAGCCACCAAGCAGTCTGTTAAAAGAATACGATACAAATTAAGATGAATTATGAAACCACCTTTGCAAAAATTAAAATACTGAGAAAATAATGGCAGTCAAAGAGATTTGATTTAAACAACTCCTGATCTTTCCTTTAGTCTTCAGACTGGCCTTAATTATACCTGGGCTTGGGTCAAGCTCTGGGAGACATTTAGTTTATAGTTTAAATGATAATAGCCCTTGCCCAAAACTCAACTGCCTTTGTAAAGTTAATGAGAGACCACCAGGCTAGGAGGATAAGAGAAGCCTGAATTTTACTAAGGTGTAGACATAAATTATTGCCAGCCATTATTTGGGAGGTCACAAGCTACGCAACTTCCCCAATTACTCCTGCAGATAACAATTGCAGAATCTGAGATTGGTCTTTTGAGGTGTCTTTTCAGGTTGTTTTGTATGTTGACTACCGATGGCTCCACCTGGACCTGCCAACCATGGCTCCATTTGGACCCGTCTACTGCTTCTTTGGCCCCACCCAGAAGTGACTCAGTGCACATAAGGACCGTTTCCCACAGCCCTATGATTGTACCCCCAACCAATCAGCAGTAAGCACCCATTGCCAAGCCACCCCCCACTTCCCCCAAACTATCCTTGAAAATCCCTATCCTCTGAATTTTCAGGGAAGCTGATTTGAGTAATAATAGAACCCCAGTCTCTTATTTAGCCATGTATGTGTAAAACACTTTATTGCATTTCCCCTGCCTTGATAATTTGGCTCTATCTGGGATAGAGAGAAGAAGAACCCATTGGGCAGTTGCAATTACCTTATCAAAAATACTACTACTATCTAATATTGACTGAATGACCATCCTTTACCAGGTAGTTTATTACATGCATTAGCTAATTTAACTTTCACAAGAATGTTATCAGATGAATAATTTTATTATCTCATTTTTCAGGTGAAGAAACTGAGGCGCAGAAGAAGTGTCTTTTGTCCAAACTCATGCAGCTGCTAGGAGGTATCTGTAGGACCTGAACTTTCCACCCATGTGTCTTCCACCAATATCCACGTTAAAAGGATGAAGCATCCTACCAAAAGGATTAAATAAACCCAAAGTGGATCGTTTGGAGGCATACATATTGTCTCCAGTGTGGAATGAGAGGTAAAGGAAATGTTTACAGTATAACACAGATAATTACCTTGTTTGGGTGATGGAGATTGTGGAGGAAAAGGAATTCATGGATGAGAGGCAACATATTTTCTTTCACAAAAAACAATTGAAAGAGATCAGGATGGAGAGAAGATAGCAGCTGTGTCTCAGATGAGAGTGGCCTTTCTATAAAAGGGTTATTAATGAAATCACTTAGGCTGGGTTCTGGCTGAAGGAGTAAAAATTCCCCCTACCTCCACCCTAAACACCATGTTGTTTTTTGTTTGTTTGTTTTTTTAATGCCCCTGAGTTTTATAAGGTGTGCACGCACACAATGAGAATGGGAGATTTTTTAGGGAGAATTGATTTATATGTACAATTTGCAATAATAATGATACACCATCACTTCTGCAGTATAAATATAAATATGCCTGCGTGTATTATAGACTACATAAATTACCTTTTCCTATCGTCTTATGCTGACTCAAATGTAAGCTCATGAGGGAAGCTGGAATGTAAGCTCATGACTTATCCATATATTTGACTAACCACTGTATTTACAACTCCTCAAGAAGGGTTGAGCACATATATGTGTTCAATAATGTTTTAAGTAATGACTTTATAATTGGATTCTAAGAAGGGGTTGGCTGTGATTCTGCTTGACTCGAACAGCAGATAATTCTGGCTGTGCTGAGAAATGATGACTGGGCTGGCACAAGTAAGCTGGTGATCAGCTTTTACTTTCCTCATTGGAAAGGTACATCTCATCATAGTAATTTAGATTGATTTATGTGCTTTGTGCTTTTCAGAAGACATTACTAGCCTTTTGTCTCAGTTGACTTGGCAACAACTGTATAAGAACAGTATTATTTTACTCACTGGGTGGATAAATAAACTAAGGCATAGTGGGCTTGAGTGATTAGCCTAAACTCATAGAACTGGTAAATCGCAGAACTTGGATAAAAAACAGGGCTTCTAACCCCTGCTTTTTCCACAACCCACTGTAGTGATGTAATTTAATGAAATAATAGAATACCACCACCAGAAAAAGCACAAACAAGAATTTCTCGGATCTTTATAGCCATGTTGTTGGATTAGAACCAGAAGAATAAAGCACTAGGACACATTTGCTCTTCAGAATTAAGCACAGTAAAAAAAAGAGGGTAAAGAAAAAACCACCAAGATTAAACTAAAGAAGACATTTGCTAATTCAAACCTTGGCATGAATGGTGGGGGACTGAATAAAAAAACCTTGCAAAATATGATGAGAACTCTCAGGAAGTAACTCATAAACACATAAAACTAATCTGCAAATGAAAAAGTTATGAGTAGCTATGCCCGTGTCTCAGCATTAGACCTTTCTGTAAATAATTAAAAAGTCTTGTGTGTGAAACTATCAGCCAAATTGTGTGTGGAGTAAGGGAAAAGGAAGAGACAAAACAAATAGACTCTTCAAGGGAGATAAAACAGGAGAAGATTGAAGTAACAGCTTTTAAAAACATATACCCTAGATAATCCTGTTTTCCCCGAATGAAGCCCCTTCACCCTCTAACTTTGAAGGAATTCTTCTCAGTAAGCACTTTGGGAAATGAATTATTCTGACTGCAACTTCCTAAGAGAGGTGACGTCACGTGGTTGACAAAAATACTGTCTGACTTCCACTGAGACCAACGGGAAGTTGCTGGAAGCACATACTGCATTTTTCTGTAGCTCTCCAACCTGGATGAGAAATAATTATTTTCAATTTATATTCATGAAGGAACCTTTCAGGGAAAACCAACCATAGCATTGCAACATATTATTCTATTGCATTTGCCACGCTCCATCTACTCTTGCATGTATTCATTAATTTGACAAATACTTATTGAGTGCCTCTTATGTAGACAATTAGGAATTAATGAACACAACAAACACATGTTCTCATTAAGTGGATGGAGATGGACATCTATAGAGCAAAATTTGGTAATAATATAAGCCACTTTTTTGCATGTGTTTATCTTTATTAGAATTGTCTCTGTCTGACTCAATGTTTTGGTGCTTCTCAAACATTGCTGTGCTTCCTGTCCCTCTCATCACTATCAAACCAGCAGGTTCCTTCTTCTTCACTCCCATATATGGCCTGATCTGATCTTTGAAATCTAGTGGAAGTTTGTTGCATATGCCACTCAATTTGCTTTCCTAGGGCTAGTATTGGTCTGAAATTTAGCCAGTGATGAATTTGAGCCGCAACTCTACACTATAAAGGGACTCCTTTTCTTAAGCGGAATCTACACTCATGATTAGGTGATGTTCTCATTGTGTGCAATTCTATATGGGATCACGTACTCAGCATCTTTTTTTTTTTTTTAAATGGGGTAAATTCTAAAAGAACAAGACTAAGACTTGCACACGTTGACATCTAAGAAGTAGAATTCCAGGTAGGAATAGAGGTGGCTCACTGCTTCTCTTCTTATAAGAATTATAAATACTTGATTTATTTTATCTTATTTTAAAAACAAAAAATAATTGTTTTAATTCATAGCAAACTATTTCAGACAAACAAAAGGAATAAAGATTTACCTGGTATAATGAATACCTCCCAACTAACTTAAAAAGTATTATTAATCCACTTTCCTTATATAATTATACAAAATTTATCTTTAAAAAAATTGATGGGTATGTATATCATTTCCAATTTTTTAGCTATTACAATCTCATAATAAAGATTATAGTTCATTTTTCACTCAGCAGATGTGAAACATCTCTAGCTTGCCTCTGTCTTGCTAAAAATTACAACTTTCTGAACTTTGTACACCAGTCTAGCCACTGCCTCTCCTTCTCACTTACAGGCAGCTCCTTTAATAGACTACAATTGTTGTCTACATTTTCTTATCATCCATTAGCTTCTCAATCCTCTCGCAGTAGGTTTGCACAATCAATACTCCACAAAAGCTATTTTCAATGACTTACTTGCCAATACAAAAAGACATATTATTTGACATTATCATGCTTGATCACTTTTAGACTTTTAGGTGTTATATCATTAACTTCCTTCATGCCATAAGAGTGTTTTTCCTTGACCCGGCCTTATTTTAATTCTGTTCTACCTAATTTTTCTATATCCATCTCCTTTACTAGCTTGTCTCCCTCGACACAGCTTTTTCATTTGAGATGACAATTAAGTGGTTCAAATATATGGCACAACTGATCTTCATCTCTCTCCCTTTCCCCTACAACTGATCCAGAGGCTAGATATAGAATGAGAATTCTTCACAATAAAATGATCTGGGCAGCTATCACCAACTGACAAAAGGTGCACCAAATATTGTTCTTCCCCAGAACTTTGTCCTTTGCCAATCTTCACTTCTCACACCCTCATCTATATACTTTTCATCATGCTTTCATGCCCAGGAAAAGAGATCTTCCCCAAGAAATACATGGAGGAGTTACAATTTCTGTTGTCATGATAATGGATGAGATCATTAAGGGAAGGAAGACTAGAGAGAAGACAATGCTATTGTTTTTGAGAACCCACTACAAATGCAAGACCAGACAGAGAATACAAATGTTATCTTTGAAACCTTATAGAAAATTCATCCATCTGGATATCTGAAAAAAAAATCACCATGTGTGCTACATTGGATACCTATGGAACTGCTTCTTAGCAACACCTAAGAAATGTCCCCTCCCCTCCCCTCATCCTCATCCTAATTGCGATGATCAAAGCTAAGTTCATACATCATGACCCTTACCTTTCTCATTACAATTGAATGGTTCAGAGATGGGCACTTGACCCGAGATGAGCTAAGTAGGTAATAAGTTTCTTACTCAGTGTTTGCTGAGTGAAGGAATTTTTGATTGACTACCTACCTTTTGTCAGTGAGTAAAGGAAAAACTGAACTCACTAGTAAGAATGGACATAAGGTGAACTCTATGATTCTCCATTCTATGAATTCTTCTTTCAACATTGTAAAAAGTGTCATAATATTTGACTCACTCAAATTTGTCTGTCAGAATACCTCAGTGTTTATTTGGGTGGCTTTAATGCATCCAGACCCACCCAGTCAGCATTCTATTGTTAGGTCCCTGAGGTCAATTTTTAGATCCAGGACAACTCCTAGGGATTTATTTTCCTCTCTGAAATCTCATCTCAGAGACAGCCTGATTTCCTACTGTCCTTAATACTGATTTGAGCCATTCTATCCTTTGGGATTCTTATCCCTACTCTAATCTGGAATATTGGGTATAGACACACTTATCAGAACTCCTCATTTCCTTTCTCCCTTGAAGAAAAGTACAACATATTCAGGCAAAAATAATTCCATGAAACCAATGCTTTAAGGGATTACTGCTTGTCATGATTTGCTCTTTGTATTAGTAACAGAAGCAGGTCAAATCACTTATAGTGATACCTGGAGGAATTCTTCAACTCAAAACAGTTGAATACAACAAAAATAAAGCTCTATATTTTCTATCTTTATATTTAATTTATGCTGAATAACTATATTCTTCATAGAACCAGTGTCATTTGATATTAGTTTCTATTTCCCTCTCGTATAAGAAAATGGTTTAAAAAACAATTATTAGTAAATTGTCTCGTAATTTTTGGATTCAGTTTTTCCTCCAAGTCTTATTGATCTTTTGGGTTCCCAATATTCTCTTACCAGCAGTCTGAACCAGCATGTTGTTCCTTATTTCAGGCCTTTGTAATCACTTGCAAAATGTTCTTAGGTTTTTGCTCTGCACTAATTCAAAAGTATATTCTTTTTATCAAGAGTACAGCTTATGTTTCCTCCTGAGGCCTTTGGGCAGAACTAGAAGCTGAGCTGTTTGTAAGGAGAGCATCATTAGACATTCCCTTTGAGCAGAAGGTCAGAGCTGTGATGGTCAGAATTTAGTTGAAGCCACTATAGTACAGGCTACAAGCTACACCAGTCCACAGGTCTTTTGTTTTTAACAAGTTTTCATACTAATCACTGTGGAGAAGTAGAGGAAAGCAAGGTCTCAAGGATTAAGAAGTTACAAAACTAATCCACTTTACACAACTCTTATAATTATTTTTTATCCCATGCACATTGGTAGCTAGAAACTGCCCTTTAACTTCTGCTGCCTTCTTTTATTCTTGAGGGCAGATCTCACCAAATATTATTCCTTCCCGTTGACTCCCATTAAATGAAAGTACACATCTAATTAGAGAAGAACTGGCATAAGTCAGTTCACGAGCTGTTGTTTAAATGAGTTATTTGCATTTTCGAGACCCTCCAGAGGGGTGAAACCTATTTCAGTGGTCCCATCTGTGTTCTTGCTATAGTTTCTTAGAGTATCTGGGTTTTATTTGACAACCTAGAGAATAGTTTAGCACAGTACTTATCACAGGCTTTCACCCAAGCACTTTTAAACACAGAGGAGAATTAACTAATGTGTGGTAAGTCTATAGAAATAGCCCAAAGGAATACACACTCCCACACACAGGGGAACATACATTCATTCATCAGTTCAAGAAGTTCTTCTTACATGAAGAGAACTATATTTTTGGATCAAGTCTCTCCATAAATGTTCCCTAATCTGATTTGTATCCTAATATAAAAGATAATGAGATGAAATACATGAAGAACCTGAGCCTTATGTTAGATGGTCTTAGATTCAGTTGGTGGCCCAATAATTTGCTACCTATGTGGCCTTGTACAAGCAGAGTGAATTGCTTAACCTCGATCTTTTCAATCTTATAATCTCATGGAGATTATAATAATATATTATTCCATTGGGTTATTATGAAGATTAAATCAGTGATAAAGTATGGGATTATGCCTAACATAGAGTCTGGCATGTTTTAGGAACTCAATAAATATTAGATTCTCCTCCTTGTGTTTTTTTCTCAGAACTTTAGAAACCAGAGGTAAGAACATCACAAAATAACAGATGACTCTGCTTACTCCAATATGTGCCAAGAAGCAAAAATGCCCAGATGAACAATCTTACTTAATAAGATACTGAAAGGAGATTCACAGTTCAATTAAATCAGCATGGATTTGTAAATACCCAGTTTACGCTCTTCTTTGGTCACTGTCAAGTAAGAACGACATTACTCATCACTTTGAATGATTGGGGGATATTTGGTTCACAGCTTTTAGACATGCCAGTATTTTTCCCTGAAGTCATTTTGTGAAGAAAAAGTTTAAAAAATAAAATATTTTTATTTTCAAAAACCATAGAAAGATATACATCTTATATGTGTGTGTGTATTTCTGTCTGTTGAGTGCATATTATAGAAGTGTATATATGTGTGTGAGTGTGTGTGTTTATGTGTGTATGCAGGGCTTATGGGTGGCAACCCTTGTGTGGTCAAAACTTTGTGTATAACTTTTGATTCCCCAAAGACTTAACTACTAATAGCCCACTGTTACTGGAAGCCTTATCAATAACATAAACAGTTGATTAATATATATTTTTATTCTGTGTGTATTATATACTACAGTCTTACAATAAAGTAAGCTAGGAAAAAGAAAATGTTATAGAAAATCATAAGGAAGAGAAAATATATTTACTATTTATTAAGTGGAAGTGGATCATCATAAAGGTCTTTATCCTCTTCATCTTCATGTTGAGTAGACTGAGGAGGAGGAGGGGTTGATTTTGCTGTCTCTGATTGAAGAGTGGAGGAGGTAGAAGGGTAAGCAAGAGACGCAGGCACAAACTGTGTAAATTTATGGAAATATATTGTATTTTCTCTTACCTTTTGCTTCTTCATTTCCTAAAAATATTTCTATATGGTATCAATCCTTCTTCAACTGTTTGCTTTAGTTTCAGTGCCTGTGTCATAGAAGGGTCCTTGTAAAAGAAGTCAAAAGCAGTCTTGAATAATTGGAACCCTTCTGCTGGATTGTCTAATGTCAGTTTGTTTTCTGACACTGCGTCTTCTACATCTTTCTCATCATCTGGCACTTGCTCAGAAGCACTCATCTCCATCAACTTATCTGCTCTTAATTCCTCTGGTGTTAAGTCTATTAGCTCCTTAATTTCTCCAAGATTCATATCTTGAAACCCTTTACCCCCTACCTTTTCTGCCATATCCACAATCTTTTTATGGTTTCCTTGATTGGTTCTGTTATAAATCTGGTAAAGTCATGTACGATATCAAGAAACAGTTTTCTTTTTCTTTTTTATTTTTTTTTTTTTTGAGACGGAGTCTCGCTCTGTCGCCCAGGCTGGAGTGCAGTGGCCCGATCTCAGCTCACTGCAAGCTCCACCTCCCGGGTTCACGCCATTCTCCTGCCTCAGCCTCCCGAGTAGCTGGGACTACAGGCGTCCGCCACATCGCCCGGCTAGTTGTTTGTATTTTTTAGTAGAGACTGGGTTTCACCGTGTTAGCCAGGATGGTCTCGATCTCCTGACCTCGTGATCCACCCGTCTCGGCCTCCCAAAGTGCTGGGATTACAGGCTTGAGCCACCGCGCCCGGCCAAAGAAACAGTTTTCTTTAGCAGAAATGTATTGTTTTATTTATTGATGGTTTTCATAGCTTTTTCTATAACAATGATAGCATCTTCAATGGTTTAATCCTTCCAGACTTTTATGACATTCTCTCTACTGGGGATTTCTTCAATAGTGTTGACAATCCTTTCCGTAAAGTATCACGTGTGATGAGTGAGACTTAAAGGTCGTTATGGACCCTGATCTTGAGGCTGAATTATGGACATTGGTTTTGGGGGCAAGCAGACCACTTCCACAACTGTGCTATTGAACTTATCAAAAAATCTTTAAAAGGCAATCTCTTACTGACAAAGGGCTTTCTGACTTCAGGGACAAAGCAACAATGGAACTCATCCAGAAAAAGGGTTGTCACTGTCCAGGCCTTCCTGTTGTCCATAAAAAAAAAAACAAAAACAACTTGGAGTTGGTGTTTATCTTTTCCCTTCAAGGCTTTTAGGTGTGCAGCTTTATAGGTAAGGGAAGTCTTAATCATAAATATTACTACATTTGCACAAAATGGTAGAGTTAGCATATCCCTTTCTGCCTTAAATCTTGGTGCTTGCTCCTCTTCCTTATTAATTAATGTCCTTTATGGCATTTATATCCAGAATAGAGCACTTCCATCTGCATTTAAAACCTGTTCATGTGGATATCCTTTCTTCTCAGTAATTTTCTTAATGGTATCTGGGTACCTGCCTGCTGCCTCTTTTTCAGAAGAAGCTGCTTCTCCAGTTATCTGACATTTTTAAAGCCAAATTTTTTCTAAAATTATTAAACCATCCTTTGCTGGCATTAGATTCTCTAGCTTTAGATCCTTCACCTTCCATTTGCTTTAAATTGTCATATAGTGACTTTACTTTTTCAAAGCATATTAGTGTCTAGGTATGCCTTTCTGATATCAATCCATACTTATATAAAAATGACAATTTCAATATGAGATAAAAACATATTTCCCAAAAAGTACAACATTTTCATGCCTCCTGGCATAGCTACAGCAAAGGCTTTATGAATTTATCTTGTTTTGCAGTGGTCCTTGTGCTGGATTCATGTATCTTGAATGGCAGCAAACCACAGCTGCAGACCTCAGTCTAAGGTACATATCAAGAAATTCAACCCTGTATTGTAATGTCACGACTTCTCTATGCTTCCTGGGAGTACTTCCAGCATCACCAATGACATTTTGTGTGTTCACTTGGTGTTATTCAAAGTTTATGGTATTGCACTAACCATAATGAAAAATATGTGAGAACAGCAAGCAATCACTTTTTACTGTGATTCACAATTTACTAGAGTGATTGCTCACACAGAGATGATTAGCATCACATGGCATTTTCAGTGGACACTTGCCACAGTTGAGCTCATTGCAATAGCAACAGGAGGTAACTATGAAGTTATTAGGATAGTACAGTATGTACTTAATTTTGTGCAGTTATGATTTAATACTATATCTTTCTGTTTATATTTCTCTTGACTGCTAGTGGCACCATGAATGGTCTATAAGTACTTTTAGTGAATTTCAACTTTAAATAATAGTATTGTGTGCATTTTATGGTAGTAAATGGTAAAATAGACTAGTATCTACATATATTTTGTGCATTCATGACATACTTAACTTTTTCTTATTTTTTTCAATATTTCTAGGGTAAGCAGTTCATCTGTAAGTTTTTTCCAATGCAAATCTCCATACAAATTTCTAGTATATTCACTGGAAAACATCCATGCATAAGTGGATCCACACAGTTCAAACCCATATTGTTCAAGGATCAGCTGTATATCCATTTGGATTTCTCTGTTTTTCCCTTCATCTTGGCTTACCCCTATAATACACATGAGGCTCACCACAACACTAATATCAAAGTTGAACTTATAAATACACCAGGCTTAATGTTCTTGCTAAGGACTGTAATTATACTACTGTAGCTCCTGTCCCTGCAAGGCAACTAATTAGTTAGTTCATGGCCAACAGTTTTAGCAAGAAACAAGAAACTCTGAAATGCATTGACTACAGCTGCTAACACTGAGAATAAGGAGGACCCAGTTGGCAGGATGACAAAACAAACAAACTGACCATAATTGGGGAAATGTTTTTAATCTAAAAAGATAGACTTTCCTAATTCTTGGCAAAAGTTAATAGGGCAGTATACTAGGTAAAAATCCTTAGCAAAAGTCATAACCAAGATGCCATCAGTTATATTGCAACTGACTCCTCTGGCCAGCAGATGCCATAGATCCCTGTTTATTCAAATGTGGCCTAAGGATTATCTTAATGAGAATCTCTTAGTTGACTTAAAAATGCAGATTATATGACCTAACCAGCACCTCTATGGGTGGTACTGCATCAGCACCTCTGTGGGTGGTTCTGAAGTAAGCTAAAGTTTGAGGACCTCAGCAATGAATAGGTAACTAAACAAGAACATTCGGATATCATTTCTTTACCATTGACTTGCTTTGGCACTTTGTTCTGTGATATGCTTATCCAAGTCCTCTCAGAAATCAGAAGATGCCCAAGTCACTTCCAGGTTTTGAGATCCCAGAATACTAAAAATAATGATATTAAAACAGGGTTACAAAAATGAGCAAAATTTTGGTTGGTTTGATTTAAAATCAGTTAACACATTAATAGTACTTTCACACATTAGTAAAGCCACTTAATATCTGTCATAAAAATTAGATATCTTTGGCAGTAGCAACAAGAATTATATATTACTCAGAAATAAATTGAACAAAAGATGTGTAAAACCTGAATGGAGACAATTACAAATAACTTTTGAAGGGCAAAAAGAAAAAGATCTGAGTACACGGACACATGGGATGGAAAAACTCGTTATTGTAAATATGACAATACTCACCAAAATTAATTAACTAATTCAGTGCCATTTCTATCTGAATTTCAAGAAATCTTTTTGGAGAATTTTACCTAGTGATTTTAAATGGTTATACAACAAAGACTTAAGACAGCATAAAAAATAAAGTAGGAGTATATACTCTAACAGAGATCATGACTAAGTATTCTGCTTTAGTAACTGAAACAGTGTGATATTGGTTAAGGAATAGGCAAATAGATGAAAGGAATTGAATTAATTGACCTTGAAAAGGCCCGTGCATCTCTGGGAATTTACAAAAGTAGCATTAAAAGTCAGTGGAAAAAAGATATAAAGATAAACTTACAAGTGCCTGTAGGACAATTACCTATCTATTTGGTAGAAAGATAGAAATAAAATTAGAGGATTGACAGCAAGATGACTGAATAGGAAGCCTCAGACTTTACTCTCCTAGAGACACACCAACTGAACAAAAATATATAGTCCAAAAAGTCTTTATGAGATCTTCAGATTCCAGTTAAGAGGTAACAGTACACCCAGGTAAGCTCAAAGCCAAGGACACACCCATTGAAATGTGTAAGAGAAGCTGTTTGATTTCAACTGCATCATTCCTTTCTCCAAGCCACATGACTCAACACAATTAGGAGAAAAAAATGTAATTCACACTTACTCCTTTGGCAGAAAAATAAAAGAATGGAACGCAGGTTAAATTTGTTTTTTTCAGGGTGTTGTCTGAGAGACTGATTTCTACCTAGCCTGATATGCATCCCTGATGGAGTTGACATATTTTAGGTGCCTAAAGTCATAGAGAACAAAAGAGAGCTAAGCAGCTTTTTGTAGCACCAGAAATCCTGTAGCACCCCAGACAAACACTAGAGAAAGAAAGATGTTACAAGCTCCTGAAAAAAGAAATGGAC